ATTAACAGAAATGCATAATTTCACATTTTTTGGCTCAGTTTGCATAATTTCAGAATTTTTCTTGCATAAAACGATGTGTGTGACGATCAAGAGCCTAAATATTACGCCACAAATTATAAATGCTAGATGCCGATGTATTTTCATAAACAGCAATGAACTCTGAGAAAAAGAGGCATTCATTCATCCAAACTTTAAAACAGAAAAAAATATTGACCCTACGGTGTTTAACGGTTAAGATTGGGCAGTCTCTACCAACACCCCTGGACAAACAATTTTTTAATTTTAGTAACTCCATGACCTGAACCAACTTTTCAAGCGAAAAACCTATAAAATATCCCTCCCCATGTCATTACTATAACAGATCATCTACATTCAATAAAAGACACTGTAGCTAATGATTTTAGTTTCTTCATAGAACATAACATTTTTTTCCCCATGACATTTCACCTACTTCATTTACAACAAACAGTGTCATAGAGATACTGAAGTAGGCTAGTCCTTTGGTTGATCGAAAATTCTAATAAATTCATGAAAAAGACTAGAACACCAAAGGAGCTTTTGAATTATTTAACATGAGGAAGCAATATCTCAGGTGGAGAAAAAGCAGCATCAGACTGAAAATCCTACAGTGTCTCATGACAACACGAGAGTAGAGAATAAGCAAAAAAACTGAACAAAGGAACATACATGTAAAAGAGGAACTGGAGTACAGCGTTTATATAACATGGTATTGAAAAACATACATTTCACGTCTTTTTCAAACAAAACAAAATCTAGTAAGCGCCGAGCAGCGCTCACCGATTATGTCAAAAGGCAATAATACTTTTTAAGAAAGAATTATCACAAAAAAGAGTACCCGAACACTCTCCATGTGAACACTTAGTTGAAAGACCTTGGCATGACGAACTATGGTGACAAAATCACACAAACTTGGAAGACATCCAACAAAAGATCAGCTGCTTCAACTTCAAGTCTTATGATATATTGTAATGCAATTTGCAGGCAGCAGAAAAGCTGCAACAAAATAAAAATTAACACGTCTTTTATGCCATGTTTTATATATATATAATAAGGTGTTTAAAAATACAAAATAATTCATAGTTTGGGCTGTACTGTCTCATTTTCATACATCGACATAAACATAAATTTCATCAAAATTCACAAAAACATGAAGTCCTGGTTTGAATGCAGGAAATATCACATGTCAATTGAGGATTTAAAGTTCTCCCAGAAGGAAGTAAGTCTGTTTTCGTCATTGGAGCAGAACTTGCGGAAGTCTGCCAGCATGGTGTCCTGGAACTTCTCGTCGCCCGTGTTGCTGGTTCGCCAGCGGCGTGAGGACATGTAGTTCCAGGACCACAGGAAGCCCACCTCATTGGGCACAGACTCTGGCCGACCCTGAAAAGCAAAATTTAAAAAATAAGATTAAAATATAGAACTTTGTAGTCAAGATTCTATTCTCATTTTTTCCCTAACAGCCAAACAGCAATAGTAGTTACATTACACTTCACCGACGGTCGACAGTGTAATATCCAAATAATCTCTTTTGGTTAGCCAAGAAGCAAGAAAGTGCATGTGGTATGTAAAAATTTGATCACAAGAATTTCAATAATTGAGTTAGTGTGCTATGCAATTTGTGATTCTCTTTTTAACAATGCAAACATAGAAAAAAAAAAAAAATTTGTAACAAACAAGAAAATAAGAAATTTTTCTTTTAGGGTAGATATATACCAGAAACTAAATTTTCAAAGTAGCTGTATGCCAAATGCATGTGTTCCTCCATATGAAAGGCCTATAACTCCAGAGAATTTTGATACCATTCTTTAACTTCTCAGTCAATTTTTAAGAAAATGGTAGCCGTTTTAAATATGATCAAATTTGCTTATGTCGCTAACTCCGTTTTAAATCTGATCAAATTTGCTTATGTTGCTAACTGGCTACAACCCCATGTTTGACAGACAATAAAAGAGTACCAAGCGCACCAAACATCTTCACATTAACAGAGCACAATCACTATAACATAATTATGGAGCCTAATTTTTTTCAAGCCTGTGAGATCATTACAAATCAGTATTTTATCGCCGCAAACATGATGATCTGTCGTCATTTTGAAAAAACATCGAGCGCTGACCCGCCAGCACTGCACCGGCCCCCGCGGCGAGCGAGTCGACTCTATACTGTAGTATACCAAGTGCTCCTCGCGTGGGGGTCACATGCATTCCGAGCTTCGCGGAAGGATTGGTGAAAAATAATTCCAAGCTGATTACTTATTTCTACAAGAAAATGAACTGATTTTTCTAATGGTACCTTTTTTTGGGCCGATATTTTACATATTCTGGTAAAAAATTATCTTTGAAAACGTTGACGGTATTTTTTAAAGAATTTCTATTTAAACCCAAAGGCCAAAAATATACCACAGGAAAGCCCTTTCAAAGGTCTATAATTCTCCGCTAATAAAAAGACGGTATTTAATCTTCAATCTTTCCGCGAAGCATTTGAATGCACGCATGCCAATTTTTGAACCAGCCAACCACGTATTCTGACTGCTAGGGGCTTCGCTCTCCATGGCGATTATCAAGCTCCTAATAATCGGACATATATAAAACAACTTACAC